TAGGTAACCCATTCCAGTGCTTCACCACTCTCTTGGTGAAATAGTGTTTCCTAATATCCAACCTAGACCTTCCCCACTGCAACTTGAGACCATTACTCCTTGTTCTGTCATCTGCCACCACTGAGAACAGCCGAGCTCCATCCTCTTTGGAACCCCCCCTCAGGTAGTTGAAAGCAGCTATCAAATCCCCCTTCATTCTTCTCTTCTGGAGACTAAACAATCCCAGGTCCCTCAGCCTCTCCTCATAAGTCATGTGCTCCAGACCCCTAATCATTTTTGTTGCCCTCCGCTGGACTCTTTCCAATTTTTCCACATCCTTCTTGTAGTGTGGGGCCCAAAACTGGACACAGTACTCCAGATGAGGCCTCACCAATGTCGAATAAAGGGGAACGATCACGTTCCTCGATCTGCTGGCAATGCCCCTACTTATACAGCCCAAAATGCCGTTAGCCTTCTTGGCAACAAGAGCACACTGTTGACTCATATCCAGCTTCTCGTCCACTGTGACCCCTAGGTCCTTTTCTGCAGAACTGCTTCCTAGCCATTCGGTCCCTAGTCTGTAGCTGTGCATGGGATTCTTCCGTCCTAAGTGCAGGACTCTGCACTTGTCCTTGTTGAACCTCATCAGGTTTTTTTTTTGGCCGAATCCTCTAATTTGTCTAGGTCCCTCTGTATCCGATCCCTACCCTCTAGTGTATCTACCATGCCTCCCAGTTTAGTGTCATCTGCAAACTTGCTGAGAGTACAGTCCACACCATCCTCCAGAGAGCTTGAAAGCCCTAGAAACCCAAGCAGGTTTCAGAAAAGATTTCCAAGATTTTGACAAATAGGCAAATTCAGATGTAAAGTTTAGATGGATTTTTTTTGATCAGCTCTAGGTAGGAACTCAGTTTACAAATAAAAATCTATTTTTTTTAACCCATCTCGCCCTGAAAACTCAAACTGGGCTCAGAGTCGAGTTGGCTATTTTTCTTCTCCCATCTCACCAGTAATAAAGATCCTGTAGGGTGAATTATCTATAAATATGGCTCCTAGATGCCACTGACAATACAAATATATGTATAAAATACCCTAAGCCTTCAATTAACTGGAGCAGTGCTAACAGAACATAATTTGGATGCAGTGGGGTTTCACAGGTGATACTGAAGACATAACTTGGCCTACAGGACCTTTATTACTTGTGGTGATAAGAGAGAAGGCAACAGCCCAGGTTGAGTATGAGGGTTGCTGGTCAGGGAAAAGTGTCATTTTAATTGAAAACTGAGCAAATTTTGATAGGCAATTAGTGAGACAAAATAAATTTAGAATTCCAAGATGCCATTTTAACTTTACATCACCCACCTTGTCAGTTTAATACTGTCACTTTACAGAGCAGAACAGAACCTTCAGAAAAAATGTTTCCAAAATAACACATTTTTGCATAAATGTCTGATCAGGTTGTATAATATCCAGATGCTGAAAAATATGAAAGATACAACTGGGTTGGTTCTGCTTCTCTCTGAATTCTGCTGTCCTCATCCAGGCAAGACACACGTGGGCTGAATTAATTCCTTGTGTAAGTCCTCGTACTTCACTAGTTAGAGTGATGAATTTGCCCCAGTAACTTCAATGGCAATGTTGCCTATTGAAGCCCTGCAGGTTCAGTCATTTTATGCACAGTGACTGTAACTACCACTAGTTTTGAATATGCTTAGTAGCACCAGATGCAATTAGTTTTGAGAAGGATAAAGAAAAGCTCTGGCTGAAAAAGAAAATCTGCAATCAGTTTTTGTCCTAATTGAATTCTGCTGGGCCACAGTCTAAGGTGAAAGAAATACACATTTTAAAAGTGATGGAAGTTTCATTCCTGGCTGAAGATCAGAAGACTTTTATAGCAGTTTACAAAGAGGTGCTCCACATTTCATGTGGGCCAAGCTATAGAATAAAAGAAAAATTCTGTTTTGAATATTTTACAGCACTAAGGTCTCAGAGTCCAGGTGCTACTAGAGGCTGGGATCTCAGTAGGTCACTCAAAGAGAGCAGACCACACTATCTTTCACTAGGATGTGTTACTTAGACTGGGTGCATATATCTTTTTCTAACACCTACTGAGATATAAGACAGATGGTAAAGGTAAATTAAGTGATGTTTAAACAAGTTCTGTCATTTAATTAATGTGCTATGGGGGCCTCCTGCTTCGGTTTGAAAACTCCTAAATTTGACCTTGCATAGATACTCCATTTTTAAAAGCATGTAGTTGAGTTTTCATGTTTTGACCAGGCAATTCGTAGGAGGTAAAAAGTCTTGTGGAAAAAATAATGAAACTGATCCCAAGAAAAGAACATGAAACCGTGTTACACACTCTGCTGTACCTGAAGTTACTCTTGCGAGAATTCTGCACCACTGTGCAAGTCATGTGCCCTGCAGATTTTTTTTTCTCCACAGAAAATACATTCTGTGGGAGAGGTGCTGCAGTTATACCCTTTGCCCACCAGGGGCTGCTGTGGCACCAGAACAGAGCAGATGGCTCACTGGCTGTATCAATCAGCAGCTGCTACAGAGGAAGAGAAGCTGCATTCCTCTCAGTGACCTGCCTGCTGGGCCAGGTGAAGAGGCACAGGATATGGGGAGGGACAGAGAGAAGGGAGCACATGGGACTTCTGGGGGGGTGACAGACTGGGGTTCAGAAGGGCTAGTGGGGGGACAAACTGGAGTGGGGGCTGATTGGGAGTGAGGGTACGGGGACACATGGGAATGGGGTGGGGGTGCAGAGCTACATGGGGACAAGGACAGATGTGCCTGACTGATTGGGAGAGGCTAGGGATCATCCAGGATCTGATTGGGGGAGGCTCCCCAACTCCTTAACAGTCCCTCCCTCCCCCAAAAAAACCTGTTCCATAATTCACACCTAACAACCCTCCACGTTCATTTCCAGCATCCTTTCCAGCAATTAGTGTTGTTTAGGAATGTTTAGGCCCAGAATTCCCCCAGGAGTACTGAAGTGTACAATAGGTGTGACAGGCTATCCGCTAACAGAGCAGCAAGGAGGGACCTAACATCATTACACTGCCATCATGACCATTGGGAGAGCTTACCAAAATTGGCTAGAACTTTGAATTAAGTGAAAGGGATAAAGTAACAATTTGGGGATTAAAAGGATCCCCCCAGTCTTTGCTCTAGCAGACTTTCTGTGCATGTTTATGCCTTAGAATAAGCAGGACATTCTCAAGTGAGGTGTGGTGTTCCCTATGGGAGAAGATTAAGCCTGACTTCTCAGAGCTTGATGTAAACTCACTCTGCCTTGTCAGAAGAGCCTTCCTGCAATAGTGAAAGGGTGGACAGCTGAAGAACTGTGGGTAGGAATGGCTGTGTGATGGCAGAGCAGATGATGGGTATTTTAAGAAACTGAAGAGGGATGGCAAAACCAAGGTTTACCATGGACAACATCACATACAAGTCTTAATTTCTGCATTTCCTTTTAGTTATTAGACATGGGATCATATGGCTGTTGGGATCAAACATGTTTTAGGGGCTGAAAGGGGTCACAGACAGTGTACATTGTGAGCGGTAGCTAGTGGGAGGCTTCAGCAGCGGGATGACAACATGGAGGGATGACTAAGACATTGCCTAGGACAGCTGTCAAGGAAGAGAAAACAGGACCATGTCTTGTCAAGAAAGCAAATGGGGGGGGGGGGTGTAGAAAAGGGAAGGAGTAATGTGATGTTTCTGTGTTGACTGGGGTTGGGAGGGTTACGCCTGGGTTTACGAATTGGGAGCTACACAGTATAACAGTGCACTTTACAGAGGATGCGTGTTCTAAGAATTAAGCTAACAGGTAAAATTTGAAAGCTGCCTCAATCTTATCGGCCACATGAAATAGAAAGAAAAAAAAAATCAGTGCACCACTGAGCATGGGGTTTGCCTTGGGTCTCCAACTGTTAGAAAACACTAGAATGGAAGAGACAGAAGTGTCAGTAAAGGTCCTCTGTCTGCTCTAGAGAAAGTATTTGCCAGAGTCATCCACTATCTTATGCACATGCTGAACACTTTAAAATCACTTCTTGTGGGTGAGTGACAGACTGAAGGAAGCATGCTTCGTGCAAGCACCATTGATCACCTCGCTTAATGAGGAATCTGGAAAATTTCCCAGATTCAACATCTGCCCCATATTAGGGGAAAGAGGTGGACGAATCTGTTAGGACTGGCTCTTTTCTGTGCAGCAACTGTAGATGATTCTTATCCACTTCCCCCCACCCCCACAGAAACTCTGGCAAACACTTCTGTCCTCTAAGAACCTGGAACAATTGCTGCCACTGCCATGCTAGGAACATGCCACCAGACAATCGATGAGTGTGAGATCTTTGTGAAATAGGTGCAAAGGATGGTGAAAGCTGGGGAGAAACATTTAAGATATACTTTCCAAATACTGTAGGGTAAATACAGGCAAAGGAAACTTCAGAATAGGGCTGAGAACTCACTGTGTGAATATATGGCAGGGTTATGAAGTCTAAGGTCCTCCAAAAAGAGACAAGGTAGAAAAACTGGGTACTGATGGCAGATATCAATTTATATACCTTTCTAACATATCAATCAATGTAGCAAAGTATTATTTAATGAATATTTCTGTTAAGGCAAGAAGGCAGACAGACCAATGAGCTCTCTGATTCCTAACACTTTGTTTTCAAAAGTGTCTTGTATAAGTGGGTTGATTTTAAATTTTTTATATTGGTCCAAATTAACTCCATGTGTGCATTTACCATGGGTTGGAGTGGAGATTTTTCTATCCTCTGGGGGGGGGGGGGTTGAGATATTTTACAAGCCTAGAAGACTAGGCAAAGATATCTGATGTGCCTCTTTTTCTCTTGATCTCACTGGACATAAGCAGTGCTAAAGGTGATCTTCTCAAGTCCAGATGGCCTCCCACAGGCCCAACATCAATGAGCTGCACTCACAAGTTACCAATTCCACTTCCTTTCATTGCGCTTTCAAACAGAGGACAGCCACGGGGGCCATTTAAAAATCTTTTTATTATTAACATAATCTTCCAAGTGTGAGTAATGTATAAGGAATGTCAGTAAATATTCCATTTGAAGCTTCTTTTTACATATTTCCATCGATAAATAAACTCTGAATTCACATAAAAAAGTTACACTTAAATAACGAATATTTTCTTTTGTTGTAGCAGGCATACATTGGTAAAATATAAATATTCTTATACTCAGCCTTTGTTCTAAGTAAAGATAACAATTAGCCACACATCACAGTTTTTAACAACCAAAACCAAGAACTCGTCAACTGATTTTCTGGCCTGGACTAGTATAGAGATGGAAAACAGAAAATTCACAGTTTGACTTTAGGCCAAGAGGGGTTGAGACGGAGGAGGAGAGAGAACAGTTTTCACGACAGGCTTGTTAAAAATAGTCTGCTCTGCCACTGAATTTTAATTCAAATATATTATTCTACATTTGATGGTGGATTCCATTATAATTTTTACATAACACTCAGATGTCATCTAATGAAATATGGCACATTATCTATTAGAACAATATAATCAGGTTTCATAACTACCATGGGGAAAAAAATGTAGGTGATCTATGAGAGATTTGTTTTTGGTTAGTCATTTTTTCCTCACTAACATTAAAATATTGTATCACTTCAATGCTTTGTCAGGTTCCCCACAATAGTTAACAAATTTTGTGGGGTTTTCTGTTACCTCTGAAACCACGCTGCGTTATCAAAAAGACCTGTATGTTGTGTTTCCTCACCCTCAAATCCAAAACTTGAAACATGATGAACTCTGTAATCAAGATATTATCTCAGAGAATTCGTGGAATGATGGTAAAAGGGACGATCGGGCTGCTGGCTTCAAGCTCTAATGCTGTCAGGAAGCACTCTGTTGCTGCATCGTCATTGCCCTGAGCTTGTAGAACCTCCCCAAGACCATTCCAAACCTCATGGGCTGTAGAATTCACCTGGACAGCATCTCTGAGAATCTTCTCAGCCAAACTATAGCGTCCTAATTGGTGAAGTATCAGAGCCTGCAATAAAGAAAATGCAGAAGTGGCTGAGAACACCAACATTAAGTACTGAACACTAGCAGTAGTAACATGAACAAGACTCTTTTAATAGGACTTTTACCAGACCCAAATTATACCTAGTAGCATTGAAAGAAGTGAAAATGGCTCGATGATTCAAGTGGATTCATGCATTTCACCATCTCTACTTTATAAACCTGGGTTCAAATTCTACTTTTGATTGCAAGTGAAAATGAGTGTGGTGGAGTGATCTGAATCCTCTGTGCATATTGGTCTATTTTATAAAATCTCAGTAGCCCGGTGAAGAATTATTGCTGAGTAGAGGTGCAGGAATGAAATAGGGTGTTCTTAAATTCACATTGAAGAGAACTGGCAGATCTGTATAAGCTGGCTGTAAACAATTAGTCCCCACACCTTCATGAGCACCAAGTGTGTATAAAAGTAACTGAAGAGTGTAGAGATTCTGTGCAATTGTTTAACCATCCATTGTAAATTCCTGGAGTTTGAATTACTCACTCTCTCCCCTGCCAACTACATTAAACTCTATTGTAAGCAGACTATTAACTGCACTATATAATACAACTTTTGAATTCTTGACTGTTGAGAACAAATTCATGAAGAAGAAAGCAAATAAAGTAATTTCAGCAATGGGTTTAATGCAGAAATGCAATGAGAGCTAATTTCTAACAGTCTAATGGATCTGCTGTCACAGAGGTACTGCAGTTTCATTTTTTGAGTTGTCAAGTGAGTAAGCACTCCCAGGGATGGTGATCAGTGGTTTAACTTACCACAAACAAGGCAGTTGTTCTTGGGATGGTATTCCCTCTCCAAGAGCGATATTTGAAAATTAGACCATCAAATTAATTCAGAAAAAGTGAAGCAGGAAGGAGTCTGTGGATGTTCTCTGCACTAAGCTGGTTTAGTGTAGCATTCTCAAGTTATAATTTACTGCCACCAAAGTGAATGAATAAAAGGACTTGATTTGCAGATGTAACTGTCTCTTCCCAATTTATTTACAGAAATTATCCTTCTGGAAGCTGTGCATATTCTATCCTAGTTAAAAATGCTAAAACTTTGTACATGAAAAATGATATATATGTGTGTATATATATGTATTTTCAATATGGCAGATCCCATTTGCCAACTTGTTAAAAAAACAAACTACTTTTCAAGACCAAAGGAAGCAACATGGTCTTGTAGAGGTATTAGCCTGATTGATAGGGGTACAGACTAAAACAAATTACATCAAATCTGCAATTACTTTCTATGGAAGGAGCACATTATTTTTTTCTGATTATCTGCTACTGACAGCAATTGTTTGGTAGCCATGTTTTACTTGAGATGTTAGGGTATTTGATGCTGGTGAAGGATACTGCATTGACAACACTGGAGACAGAAGTTAATTGTTTATCCACAGAACAGCTATTACATGGGCAGTAACAAGGGTAAGTCTTCACACCATGCCCATCAAGGCACGTTAGCCCTGGAGGGCACCACCTTACAGAGACAAGGAATAGTTCAATCTCCAGGCCCATTCACTCACTGGCTTCTCTGCTGTGACTGCCAACAAAGGTTCTGGAGGTTGTTTTTATGATGATGAATCCTGTTCACTGGAACCCAGTAGACTGAGATTACAGACTCATTTCATATAGGGCATCAGAAAAGATTGCTATAACATTTGGTCATGATAGACTTAGGCTGAACTGAAACCCGTGATCCACAGGTAAAAGGCTTCATATCCCATTGTCAGTCTTCTGACTCATCATAAACCCACCTAAAAGGGAGACCAGATGCCAGAGTTTACTGGGAATATCCAATTTTTGCAGGGGTACCTATCTATCAGGGATGGTCTAGACAGTATTTGGTCCTGCCATGCGGGCAGGGGACTGGACTCGATGACCTCTCGAGGTCCCTTCCAGTCCTAGAATCTATGAATCTATGAATCTATTAAACCAATTATACTACACTTGGATTTTTTTTTTTTTTTTTTTTACCAGTTTAATAAAAATTGGCTGATCAGTCCATCTCCAGTGTTACAGGATTTCCTTCTTGCCTCCGAGGTTCCCAGGACCTACATGCTGGATTCCTCTGCTCTACCACCTACCTGCTGGTCTCTTAATTTAGTAATGTGCAAATTATAGCACAACATAGTCTGGGGACTTTACAATCTCCAGAGTTTGCTAGTGCTGGGTTTTGGAATATTTTGACCATACTCAATGTTAACTGGACTCAGTTCTTTTAAAGCACTGAATCCCCAGATCACTACATCCCAAGCCTGGGAAAGCTCAGAACTGTACCCTATTTGAACATGGGCCTTGCCTAAGTCATGGAATACTAATCTGAATACTAAACAGACACAGGTCTCCCTATATTCTGATTATATCAAGGAGTACAACCTCGCTTCTTATCAGCTCATTTCTGCCCACTGCTCTGCCAATGAAACCAGGCCACTGTTTGTGTGCTTCCTTCATAATCATCTTCATGATTTATTCTACACTGCCCCATATGCACAAAATGCTGTTTTTGAGTTTTCTCTCAAATCCATCAGCCCACGGATGGTATTTCATTATGTGTCTGTACAATGCTTGGCACAATAGGGCCCCAATCCTTTATTGGGGCTCTAGGTACTAGTGCAGGACAAATATATAATAATAATTCAAGCCCCTCCCTATGATCCACTATTGTCTCCAGGCGTACTCAAATGCTGATAATTAAGACATCTATTTAGACTGAATGTAATAAAACATCCTTAATCATGTCATGTGCTAGACCTTGTTGAGTAATCACATAATCTTATTTGTTACCTCACATTTTCCCTCTCCCTTGCTACTCATTACTGTATCATGACTAATACTAGGTTGTAAGATCCTAGGGGCAAGGGTAATATCTTATCTTGGTTTTGAAAGGGGTCTAGCACACTTATTAATATTTTCCAGTGGCAGTCCTGTTCTTTCCAGATCTACAGAGAAAGAACTGATTCAAAGATTTGCACTATGCTTGCTTCTGGGGAGGCCACTTCCTTGGACTTTGGAAGGGGGAAATATATCTGTTTTCTCCCTTACTATGGCCCTACACCATGTAAACAATTCAGGGAGAATCATCTTGGCTTTGGAGCTTCTGGTGGACTCAAGGCTGCTGTGACTTGCCCCCTTGACAAATACTGTGCCCACTCATCCTCATTTCCTGAGATGGACAGAGACAGTAATGTCAAATCCAGCTGTTACAAAAAA